TCAGGTAGCTATACCTTAGCATGTCCTCTTCTCTTGAAATTCCTCTAGCCCCTTTGGTTCTTACCACAGATATTTAAAAATACTTGAACTGAGAACTACTGGCGTAGGTAAATGTTTTGGAGAGAGTTGGTGAAGGTTTTTTTGTATTTTCCACTTTTAATACTAGGGTTCAATTTAGTATTATGTCACTAGTGATGAGACAAATCAGCTGATACGATAGACAAATTTTGGTTATAGAGATGGGTACATTGTTCTTTGATGAAGTAGACTGACATTACCAACCTATCTCATTTAGGACACGTTTGGCAAATCTTAAATTTTTAACTGTTGACTCATTACCAGTGCTTTTACTGAAGGCCTAGGGGAAGGTGCAAAGAACAGGAAATCTGGGAAAAAAAACTTCTCCTCCTGCAACTGAAGTTTCTTTGTTTTAAGATGGGAGTCACTTTGAATGCACTGTGGCTAGGTTTTGTGCCATACAAAAGCATGGCAATTGTGAGTAATGCACGTAAGTAACTCAGTTAAGTTGCATTGTCCTATGTACTGAGGAGATTTTCCTTGAGATTTTGCTGACATAAAATTGTTTGTGATGCTTATTCTAAACTGGGGGTAATCCATTTGCAACAGGTTAGAAGAGAGAGGTTTCCTTTAGTCATAGAGCAAATGTGCCTGCCTTTCTTATTGAGAAGTGCACTTGGTCTCTCTTGTGAATGTTAATCCATGTTTAGCTGACTTTGGTATATTAAAGAACAGCACAGACAAGATCATGAATACAAAAAAGCCCAACTGTTTAAGTCACTTCACTCCTAGGAAAGAGTTGTTGAACATGACCTCAATCTGGGGGGACACTTGGACCCTCCTGATTTTGTTCTATTTTCAGGGCTCGTGTAATAACATGGGCATGCTTCCTCTTGGCCTAAGGTGTCCGCACGTGTGTGCGAAGGACAAGACTTTGTGGTAGACCTGTCCAAATGTTTCTGAAACAACTTCTCAACCCCTTTCTTTTTGTTTCTACTTCTAGCGAAATAGATATTATGGGAGAGTTGAGTGATACTGTCCTGACACTTTAAAACTCATGGTTTTCTTCCATCTTAACTATTAGAACCTTAAAATGTATTTTTAGACTCTCACTGCCTTGATATATGTGAACAACTTTCAGTTGCCAATGAGAATCAGAAGTGGGAATAAAGGCTAACAGAGATTAGGAAGCAGATAATGCTTATTGCCAATAAAATCCAACTAGGAGCTTATACTATTATTTAAATGTATTTTTTTATTTGTGATTAAAGCGTCCAGTGAGGATTTAAAAAAAAGTAGAATTTTTTTTTTTTTTCCAGCTAAATACTATTTGTATGATAATTATTTTGACCTGCCAGGAGCTCTCTTGTGTGCAAGGGTTGTGGACAGCTTAGATCAGGTAAGAACTGGATTGTTTGAAACTGACTATTGCATTATCTTTCTCTTCCCCCACCACACTTCTTTTACACATTATTAAATGCATACAAAGAGTGTATTGAACAACATCAAGGTCTTCAGCTTTTTTTCCTGTTTATAATTTTTTCATGTCAGATTTAGTGTATTGAAGTTGTCTCCGAAGCTAATTGTGAGCTATATGGCATTTTCAAAATAAATGTACTTCCACAAGAGGGCACAAATAACTAGGTTACGAATAGAAATGCACTGTTTTCTCAAGTTTACTCTGTGATATGCAGAATATAGTTCTTAAAATCTCCTTTAATTAAACTTGATGGTACTTGAAATAAATCTTAAGTTTCTGAATAGCACAGTTTGCTGATTTGCAAGGTGTTAATGAATTTAGAGCTTAATTCCTTCATTTTTAAACTTGTTTTTGTCTTAAAGATGTTGGTGTGTGTACACAGATGTAAATACACCTCTAGAATAGTATCTTTTTTTTTTTTTTAAATACAATTGCTTGAAACTTTTTCAGTGCTTTTTAGAATGCCCTAAATCCTATCTTTGAAGTTTGAAGCCAGTTGGTTTTGTTGATTCAAGAAGGCTTGAATCTTTAACTTGTGCAGCTGGGAGTAGGAAAGGGTTGTTCTCCTAGAGAATGTATGTTGGTGTTAAAAGAGTACTGATGTAATCTTCTGTCTAAAGGTATCAAAGCGCTGCAGTGCTGAAAATTGCAAATACTAAGCTTTGTCTGCAGAGTGAAATTCAGAGATGAGATGGGTATCGTCACCTGACTTGATGCTTTAGCCTCCACTCCAAAATAGCACACTGAGTAGATTGCTGCCTAAGTCCAAGTGCTGCATAGCTAAAGCTAGCTTATCAGGAAGCACTGTGGACAGGTGTGCCGTAAGACTCTCAATTTTTTGCCTGATTAAACTCCTTCCTCTTGCAGCTTAGAAACCTGTCTCAGATGTGATGCCTGTATCGTATTACTTTGGTTTACGTTTAATTTAGACTTAGCGGAAATCACCTACTTAGAGAGAAAGCATGTTATAGCATGTGTGTAATAAGCTTGCATGTTCAGTTACTAATTCTCTACCTGGAACACTGACCCTGGATCAGGGCTGTCCTCAGCCAGAGAGAATTAAGCCCTTGCCCTTTCTCCAGGGAGCTACCAGAAGTGGGTTGTGCATCCTCTTTATCAGCTAGCAGCTCTTGGATATTTTACTGGATGTTGGCTCAGTTTTAACAGGAGGGCCACAGTAATTGCCTGGGATGTTGTCACCAACCAGCTGAGAAAGACACAAAGCAGGAGCTGGTAGGCCTCTCCAGCCCTCATGCCTGCCACATGCTGCATCTAAGGGTTAGAAACCATCACATTTTCTTCCTCCACATTTTGGAAAGGAAGTAGAGGCTTCTGTTGCCTGTTCTGGGATCCTGTTTAGTAAGGGCTATTTTCTTACTGTTTCCAGAAAACATCTTAGGATCAGGAATGCTTCCTACTGGAAAGACATGAGAGAACTGCTAGATTTGGATTCAGAATGCATTCAGACATGGGTTGGATGCTGGGCTGCTCTACACTGTTAAGAATTAATCTGGTTTTGCTGTGTCCAAAGTCAGAGATCTTAACGTACTTTCAGACAGAGCAGAGAAGCTTCTCAGTGTTTTGGATCTTCATTCTGAAGCTCTACACAAAGTACTTCTTTGATATTTCAGCTAATGAAGTCACATTTGACAATAACTGCCAAAATCTTAGTGGACTGCATGGGCAGGCATGCAGTTTTCTTTCTCTGGGAATTGGTCTGTTTTCTTGTACATCCCATATGCAATGGCTGTAGATTTGCAAGGAAGTAGTTTGATAGTTATTTTGGTCTTCTCTGAGGTCAAATGTTCTGTACCAAGTGTATCCACTTGTTGTAAACGCATATCCATCTGTCCTCCAAACAGTACTTTGGGAAACTGTTAGCTCATTGCACTCATAGTTCGGGGGTTTGTTTTTTTCATTTGTTTCCTTAAAAAATAAGGAGCAAGTCAGGCATGTGCAGTATGAGGAGAGTGGACAGTTGAACTGCCTGTCCCAGAGTTAGTGCTGGTGTAGGCCGGTGCCATCGCTGCTGGATGGAGAGGTGCTTCCCAGGATCTCCTGAACACAGCTTTGAATACTTATCTTGGCTAGCAGCTAACCAAAGTTTGATGTATGTGAAAGCTTTTCTTTGTTAGTTCTTGTATGTATTTCTGTGGCAGTTTGCTGTAGTAATGGATTAGTAAGTTAAAAGCCACAGCATTGTATCGTTCCTGCTCTTAACCTGTGGGGACGGTGATTGATAAGCAGACTGCCATAGTGCTTCTCAGTCATGCACAAAAGGCCTTTTTTGTGTGACTTGCTGGTTGTGAAATTAAAGACAGCGTGTTCTTCTGGAAGCCTCCATGATGAATTAGGCCTGAAGTAGCAGTTTACTTCAGTACATATAGACTATGTGGTTTTGGTTGGTGATGTTAAGGGTGGGATTGGGTTTTTTCAGTTTCTAAATGTTTCCCTCTCTAGAAAATGCTTTATGCTTACAAAATAGGTCCTTATTCAGTGTTAGCGCAGTGGTCAGGACACAGAGGGCAATGCCGTGAAAACAGTTGCGTGGAAATTTATCCTGGTGTAGGTGTGGAAAGCCTGTAACAACGCTACATGATACTTTCCACACAGTACAAACTCAAAGAGGCTGTACCACCTGCTTTGCTACTGCCTCGCACGTTGTGACTGCACGCCTGTGACAAGGCTTCCTAGCAGGTCCTCTGTGCTGTAATATTGGCTGGCAGTGTAATTGCATCTGGGTTTAATACCACACTTCTTAATTTGTGGATTTTGAGGGTGCTGTGGGGCTCAGCTGGTTGAGAAACTCTTCCTCTCCCTTGGTGAAGTGGTGAAAGGGCGGTTGAGGTTCAGCTGGAGCTCTTGTGTGACGTTCTGGGAACGGTGGGAGGCTGTTCACAAGCACGGATCACCTTCCCCTGCCATTCTGGGGTTTGGCACTCTGCAGAGTACAGTGTAACACAAGTGCCTGGCTTCTGAATGAGTATTTCGTATGGTGTTTGGGGTGGACTTGTTGGCAGAAGGGCATTACCTCTAAGTTACAGTGAATGGTTTTGCCAGATCGGAGGTTGGAAGGTAATAGGAGTGCCAGGCTGTAGATAATGTCAACCTGCTATTTAAGTACAGTATTTGCAGTTCTAGGAACTCCTTTCCTGAATTTCAGTGGGATGGCTCATTCAGTAGGTTGCTCTTCTGTCTAATGCCCCCTTTTGCTGTGATGTTTTAGAGTTCCTCACAAATATGAATACTTTCTCCTTTCCCCTTCTTCTCCCCACCCCACCATATCTTTCTGAAGTAGGGAGATAACTTGTGTGTGGTTACCCAGAGTTCACAGTCAAGCTGGGTACTGAGTCCTGATCGTCTGAATCCTGCTATCCAAGACTGTTACGCTCCAGTTTCAAAATACTTTTATTTATTAAGGTGTTTCTGTCACTGTTTGAATATGAAAGCTTGAAATAGGGAATACTTGATGTAATGACTAGGTTCCTTTTGAAACTTTCAGCATGATGGTCAGAAAAAATATGACTTCTGGAAAGACATGGTGGCTGCTATCCAGCACAATTATAAAATATCTGCTTTTAAAGGTAAGTGGGTTCACTGAAAACTTACTATGTTAGCTGAAAGCATTACACGTACTTGCCAAAACAAATACATTTGCAAGTACGCTGTAGGTTACTCAACACAGCCTTTACTTCTCAAGCTTACAAATAGTTGTATGCTAGACACAAGTTTATCCTGAAATAGAACATCCTCATTACAATTTCTATTTAGTTTAGCTGAAACAGTTTTGCTATTTCTAACAACACCTGTGATTATGTTAAAATTCACTGAATTTAGAGGAACAAAATGGTTTCTTACCATGATTGGTATGGTAATGTGGGCATCCTTGAAGTGTATTTTAATTCCATTCTTTGTGATGCTGTACTCCTAAATAATATCAGAAATGCATTGGGGGGAAAAAAATTAAATAGTAACTAATACTTTAATTTTCTTTAGGCTCTAGTTTTGATCAGAATTTCTCGTGATATTGACACAGTGGTAGGGGGAACGTTTTCCTATTTCTTAAAACTTTTAAAAATTCTGTGATTTTGTTATGAATTTACTAGAAATTGCAGGGGATTTTTTTTCTTAATAATACCCTTCCCCCACCCAATGCCAACCTTATAATACTGTAATATACATCAGAGTTGGAAGACATCTTGGATTGCCTTCGCTAGAAATGCTTTTCTTCCTTCAGACTTCTGAGTTTCCATTGAGCATATAAAATAGTAAGTTGAGAATAAGGTTAATCATCTTGTGTGTGTGCACAATTAATTGAAATTATTTTCAGCTGTGGTGTTTGTAGTTTTTTTGTGAAAGGATTATATACTGATCAGTTCAGAATTCTGTATAATACTGCTTATATTATTTTCTGATAGAATTACATCTGTTAATGCAACATTCGATAGGCACAGGTGTAGTTTGGACCTTTGTAAAACTTACCTTTTGTTCACCAGAGCTGTACGACTTTCTGTACTCCTTTCAAGCAGAGTTATCTCAGAGAGGTTCCAAGCAAAAATAGAAGTTGATGTCAGGAAATGTATTGAAAAAGACAGAGCGTTATTCCTATAGTGGTTTTGGTTGTTGTTGCTACTGTGTTTCTGTTGGAGCTTACAGTGTGATCTGTAGTTAAGAAGTCCTTCAGGAACTCATTCATATGTGACATAAATGTATCCTTTTTTTCTGTTGATATTAAATGGATCCTAATCAACTGTAACTATTTTTTAGCATTTTTCTTAATTATTTTTTCAAATCATGAAAGCCCTTTGTTTTAAAAGGTGTGGAACATGCAGTGTTTGGCAAAATGTATAATTTTAAATAGTGTTCTTTGGAAGTTAATGACATCATACAGAAGTTAGCCTTATATTTGAAATCAGAAACAATAGTTTTATTTCTGTGAGTGTCTGCTTGTGTGTACGTTTATGCATATACCTACCTATCCAGTATCTATTTGTGCATGTAAGCATGGAATCTGCATACAAGCAGATGTGTGAGATGACTTCATCCTTTCTAACTGCTATCAGGGTTGGTACTTAATTTAATACACCTGAGTCTCTGTTATAACAGTCATGAGGCACATACACAGCAGTGTTGGAAATGTAAGAAAACGTGGTAACTGGTAGTTACGAGTTATACTGGATAAAGCTCTGAAAAATCGAAAGTAAACCAATGCTGATTGTATATGCTACTTAAATATTTTGATGTATGAAAGTACAACGATCTGTCATGCTTCGCTTTGAAAGGCTTCATAATGGTCTCATTTTCCTTTTAACAACGTGGATAAAGCACTCAACAGGGAATCAGAAAAAGCAGAAAATTTCTTCCTGTATCACTTACCTGTGATATTCCCATGGAGTATCTCTTTTTCCTTCAGATCCCTCTGTGAAATGAGCATAGTCTTACTCACCTTCTGTCACAAGATTGTGCCAAAGAGATAATATTTTTTTTTTCTCTCAGCTGCACACTTAATTTCCTGAGGAAACTCCTAAATCTGGCTGCAGCCCAAAGTCTATATACCAGGAAGCCCCACTGTCTTTCTTAGCCCAGAGCCTGGCCTGAAAACCACAGCCTTTTGACTTAATTCCATGCCCTCGATGCCTTGTAGAGGCTTTAACCCTTCAGAGAAAAGCACTGCTCATTAATGGTTAGTCAAGGTAAAATTCCTAAAGCAAACTTGTTAAGCAGTCAGTTGAGGAGACGCAAAGTTCCCAAGTCGAAATGCCGTCTTAGTAGTGCCATTGTCAGTGATGGAGCAGAACGACTGACCATATTATTTTTTGAAATCTGTAAGTGTTTGCAAGTCACTTTGGTTTGTTGTCAGTATGCCCTTGTTTCCTTATGCCCCTTCTCTTTTTCACATGATTTCTTTGATCATAATCAGGTGTCTGGTGGATTTTGCTGTTCATTGTCTTAGCTATGGTAATTGCCTTAGATAATTGCCCTATGATATTTTTTGTTGATGGCTGTTTCAGATAGCAGTGATTGTCCTGACTCAGCTGAATGAAGGGTATTAACCCACTATTCCACTTGTACAGAAGCAAGAACTGAGGCTTGCAGAGGGAGAGTAAGAAGGTTCCAAAATAGTCTTATTAGTTATAGTTATATTAATTACTAATATTGCTATCTTAATAGTTATTCAGATCATAGAATAATTTGGGTTGGAAGGGACCTTAAAGATCATCTAGTTCCAACCCCCCTGCCATGGGCAGCGACACCTTCCACTAGACCTTTCTGAAGAATGACTCAAAAGAATGTGGGGGAATCTATAAAACAAATCCTGTCAGAAAACCATGATGTCAGATAGCGATGAACACTGATAATTCATATTTTCAAAATGGTCATTCTTACCTAATAATACCTGCAAGAATGCCCTCTGCAATTGATGTCCAAGTTGAGCATTACATTACTTGAGTAATCCTTTTTGTAAATCTTATTGTTGGAATTTTTTGCAGCTTTAAGGTGATTAACATCAGTTTGTATGTGTTTCATTTGGTTTATATTTATAGATTAGTAAAGAACAATTTAAAAAGAAATGGCATGTGGCAATGTATTTAACACTGTATAAATATGTGAACAAAGGTCCACAACACAGTATGGAAATAAAGCTTGATCTTTCGAGGAGTAATGAGAGTTTGAAGTACTGCATAAATATTTCCACGTGAAAAATTTCAGATTTAATGATTTTTGGACACAAAAACTAATAGTTGTTATAGGAGGAAGTTGCCTGATAGAAGTTATTAAAGCAGAATTTGGTAAAATGCCTTTTCTTAGACGCTGCCTTCTCTCTGCCATCCTTGATTGTCTTTCAAAAACTTTCCCTTTATTTCCCTTCACAAATGCTGAAAACTGTAGCATTTGTTGTTATATAGTGAAAATTACATATTTGTAATATTTTGAATCAGTTCATAAGATTATATTTCATTTTGGAGGTAAAAAGATCAGGGCTAATTTGGCAGCAGAGACTTTATAAATTGCCCATAAAAAGGCTTGATGGGATCTGCTCTCAGATCCCATCCCAAGGGTGCATTTGAGAAATTTGACACTGATGGTCTTTTACAAAAAGGAAAATTATGAGAGATGGTAAGTGCTAGGCTTACAACCTGTTCTTTAGTAACTTACATTTTCTCTTTTATGTGATTGATCAGTGCCGATATATGGGAAGTGTTACTTTGGTGTGGAAAACTTTGGATCTTTCTAAATGACTCCATTCTCTCCCCAAAAACACAACGTGTGTACGCACACAGGGAATTTTGATTGCAAGTTTGTTATTACACTTGTCTTGGGAGAAGATAGTGGATGTACATGTTTGATATGTGCTCTATATCATTTATACCAACCATTGGGTTGGAAGGGACCTTAAAGATCATCTAGATCCAACCCCCCTGCCATAGGCAGGGACCCCTTCCGCTAGACCAGGTTGCTCAAAGCCTCATCCCGCCTGGCCTTGAACACTTCCAGGGATGGGACATCCACAGCTTCTCTGGGCAACCTGTTCCAGTGCTTTACCACCCTCTCCATGAAGAACTTCTTCCTGATATTTGATCTAAATCTCCCCACTTGGAATTTAACCTCGTTAGCCCTTGTCCTGTCACTACAGGCCCTTGTAAAAAGTCCCCCCCCGCTTCCTTGTAGCCCCTTCAGGGACTGGAAAGCTGCAGTAAGGTCTCCCCAGAGCCTTCTCTTCTCCAGGCTGAACAAGCCCAACTCTCTCAGCCTGTCCCCATAGCAGAGGTGCTCCAGCCCTCTGAGCATCTTCGTGGCCTCCTCTGGACTCGCTCCAATCGTTCTATATCCTTCTAATGTTGAGGACTCCAGACCTGGACACAGTACTCCAGTTGGGGACTTGCAAGAGCAGAGTAGAGGGGGAGACCTTCCAAAATGCTGCAAAATGTTAGAAAATCCTAATGCTGATGTGGTCCAGTGATCAGAGATCATTGTTTCTCTTAATTGTGAAAATGGCAACAAAGATGGAAGCAAACAAATTGTAACACTTCTCTACAGGGCTTTCCAGCGAAATACAGAAGGGATTATTTGGGTGCTTCGTGTGTTCAAACACTAAGAACTACTGATATTTGTCTCAGAAATCTTTCTGAAGCCTTTGGAAGTGAGTTCTGTACTATCACAGGCTCTTACATTTTCATCTTAATCTTATATTGGGTTTTCTTTCCTCTACTGCCCATGAGCCATAAAAGATGTGATTTCTGGAAGAGCTTTATCTTTAGGTTGATTGCTGATCTTCATGTGGAGAAAATATTTCAAAACAAATTTAGAAATGTTACAGACCTTCTCAAGTTTGTCTGAAAATTGAGAATCCAAAGCTAAAATTAAGATAGAAATTATGCTAGTGCCACAACTTGTGAAAACTCTACATTTTCAATGTTAAGAGATGCTTTATTAATGACTTAATGTCCGAACAGTTATGAAAACCCTTCAAAAAGATGGGCCTGAGGTGTGCTAAACTGTAGGATTATTTGAAGTCCTATGTGTTCATTCAAGTAACAAAGACTCTAAAGGACAAAAACTGATTTCAAGTGGATGGACGGTAAGAATTGGTGAACTGTGCTTTTTAAAAGTGTCTTGTGCAGAGGCTAGTTAATTGAGTTGCAGGATAGACACGGACTACTGAGCACCAAGCATCTCCAGCAACTTTAAACATGGGCTTTGGCATACATTTCAGACACAAAGCAATTAACCAGAAACTGTACAACTACTGAGCAGTCTTCTCCAGCCCTGGTTCACAGTCCCTCTGAAACAAAAGTGCCCGACTGGTTGAATGTATTGCAAGCAACCAACCCATGTGATCTTTAAATACTGGAAAGTGCTGTTGACCTAATTCAAGTGGCTGCATAAGAAAACATTTTTAGTGCAAAAAGAGATAATTCTTAGGAGATCTGTAATTAATATTTGGCCTAAACCAGGAAGGTAGAAAAGTGGGGATAGACAATTCAGATTCAAGTGTATTGAGTTTCAAGCCAAAGTAATTTTGTCTTGAAAGACAAGTATCACAGGATTGCTACTTACAAACTGTGGCACTGTCTACTGCATTATTTCCATGCAAACATTTGTGTGTGATGTTTATAATAGTAGTACCAATTTGCTTGCCTGGGTCCACTTGGCTGCTAAAATAAGCACATCTCATGTTACACTCTCTACATTAAGGACTTATTGTTTTACCAAAGTATAACCTAAGCCACAGGCTTCCTTATCCATCAACACTTAATAAGGGGGAAAAAAAAATACCTCTGCAAAGTTACTTCTTGGTAGTTATTTACAGTTTCAAAAATATCGTATATTTTGGCTAATGATGGATTAGCCTAAAGGTGTCCTCGCTTTTTTTATTAATCTCAGCATATTGTCAAGTATTTAGGAATTTGCTGGTTTCAGGTGCCACAATATATCAAGCTTAGGGTTCTGCTTTCATGAAGAAATGGCAATATCACAAAACTTTTAACATAGGCCTACATACTTTTAGTTCAAGTGATTAAAATCTTCTGTTTAAAAAATTAAGCTAAAAATAGTTTAAGAACTGATAAGGTTTTTATTTATATGATACTTTTAAAGCACATGAATGGTAACTCTCATTGGAGGAAATGTGTGATCAAACTGTTATGGTTTGAAAATTTTACTAAGCTAGCTTACTTCATACCATTAACTTTTCATAGTGCTGTAACAGATTAACATCTAATGTTTGTGAGACATGAGCATATGTAGGTATGGTAAATATAACTGTCCACTGACTGATTTTTGTCATCATCTGCTACTTTCATCATTTAAGTAAAATACAGTCCTGAGTGTGGTGTGTTTTAAAAGCGTTAACTGTTTCAGAAAAAGGAGTGCAAAGATTGTCTCCAATTTTGGGGTGGTTAGAGCTGTTGTGATTTTTGTGAGTGTCTGCATGTTTGTGGAGATATGCTCTTGACTTCTGGATTTGGTGATAGTTGTTTTACTGTACTCAGAGCATTGTAGTTTTAAAGAATGTTAGGAGTTTAAAAATACTGAACTAGTTTGTTGCTTCAGATTACAAAACATGTCAAGCAAAGCTGAGTGGATTTCTAGATTTCCAATCTGGTTGCTGTTTCATATTGTGAAAGTCTTAGACCTTCCATAACAGATAATAATTTGTAAATTTACCTTTCTCCAAGGTAGTTATTCATTAATAAGAACAGTGGAGCTAAATTAAAACTGTGATATGATATGCACTGTATTAATAGGGTTGTGTTTTCCTTACTCCTGCTTGATAGCTGAAAGATGAAGTTGTCAGCATGTTGCTAAAGCGTATTACCCAGCTGTTGTGATGACTGTGCTGCATCTGAAACAGTCTGAATAATATCTTTGGTTAGTTCAAGTACAGTGAAGTATGATCTAGAGGCCTGGATTGGCTGCTTTGTGTTGTGAGAAGCGATAGAATTTCTGATTTAAAAAAAAAAAAAAAGAGACTGCATTATATTAATTCATAATGTTTTAATGTTGCATTCAGTTGGACATGTTGATCGTTTCAAACAAATTTCTTATGACAATTTGCTAAAAACGTACAATATTATGCTACTAGGTTTTAACCAAACTTTTCCACCTTTCTACTCCCTCCTCTATTTCTGTTGCAAAATTGAAGTTGCATGACCTGCTATTGATGAATCAGATCAGTGCACAGTTAAAATGATCTGAAGGAGAGAGTGTCAGGACAGTGTATGTGGGATGTTGTTAGTTATGAGCAAATAGGAAACCTGAGAAAGAAGAGTGAACATAGTCAGAGGAATAGAGACCATTAGATTCTGAATTGGGCAGTTGCAGCCATACTTGATCATTCTCCATGAGGTCGATGACAGCACTGCCAGAAGCCTGGTCAAGGTATCCTTTCTTGTACTCATCATAGGTGTACATGAGTGGGGACCCATTTTTGTAGAGCGCAACCCAAACGTTTGTTCCTTTTGCATGTATGTGGTAGGAGAAATAGTACAGTCCAGGGATCCTGCAGGTGAAGATTCCTGTTCTGGGGTCATAGTGTTGTTGCCTATTGAACAAGATTTTATCAAATTTGATGGGCACTGTTGCCCCAGGGTAGGCTTTTGAGAGGATGACACTAAAAGCAGACACTGGCATCCCTGTAAGAGCTTGGTTTACTCCTTTCGTGAAAGACATTCCTGATAGCTCCCGA